TAACAGCAAGCTTCCTCCCCGATCTGCTCGACACACGTAAAGCAGACATCCAGGAAACACTCATAAACGCTTATGCTCGTCATCTCATCCTTGCTCTATGCAATGGCTAGTTACGGGCATGTTTGCCTGTTTTAACCACGTCCCGACAGTTACCTATTTTTGCGGACCTGCATATCTAGGCCTAAAAATAGGGACCAATGGCCAAGCGTCAGGGGAATTATATAAACCTTCACACATGTGATGGTCAGGTATCAAATATTCATCACTAAAACCCTAAACTCTCTCTTGTATATCTTTATGCTCCTACTAACTTTAGTATCAAAGTGCCTTGCAGGTACACCCCTCCTCCTCCTTTCTAGCATTGAAGTTGAAGTTTCTGACCCACTTCAGGTTCTGGTCAACCGGTAAGATCAACTATATATATATATATATATATATATATATATATATATATATATATATATATATATATATATATATATATATATATATATATATATATATATATATTAATTGATGTTCTGAATAATTAATTTTATTTGAATTACTTGATGTGTGCCATATGACAGGTTAGTCGGGTTGAAATGGTGAACTGTAGAATTATAGTTAGTTTTGGTGTCAGTTAGTAAATGATTATTTTATTAGTGATAATTATATAGAAATAATAGAAATGAGGTAATTAGGTCTATTGGGTGAGAAAGGGAAGAGTAAAGTGTGAGTGTGTGTTAGTAAGCCTATTAGTTACTAGAATTAGTGTTAATTTATAAGAGTTTTAATAAGAGGGTTAAATAAGTTTTTGGTCCCTATAAGTATCCCTAATTTTGTTTTTAATTCCTCTAAAATTTTCCTTCAAACATTGGTCTTCATAAAGTTTTCCATCCATAATTTCGGTCTCTGTCGTCAATTTTCATTAACAGAAACTGACGTGGCAAAAACAGCTGTCAAAAATTTAAAAAATATTTTAGATTGAGGGGGTTACAAACCTCCTCTAACAAACCCCCTTAAAAATTGCCTTCAGTGTTGTTGTTGGTGAAATAATGGTGATATGGAATAATGTTGCAATTTTGAAGGGTGCAGTTAAGATGTTTGATGAAATGTCTCTTAGGAAATTTTCTGGATTTGTTAGAGGATGTTTGTAACCCCCGCAATCTAAAATATTTTTTTAAAATTTTGACAGCTGTCTTTGCCACATCAGCTTCCGTTAATGAAAATTGATGGCGGAGACCAAAATAGTGGATGAAAAACTTTATGAAGACCAATATTTGAAGGAAAATTTTAGCGGGACTAAAAACAAAATTAGGGATATTTATAGGGACCAAAAACTTATTTAACCCTTAATAAAAAGAGGAAAATAGAAGGTAGTAAGAGAATAAGGAGAAAGGAGGCTAAAGTAGAGAAAAGGAAAATGGAGAAAGAGAAGAAAAGCACCTAAGGAGGAATTCAAAAGTTCATCAAGAAATTAAGGTAAGAGTGGATTTTTACATTGTTATGGGAATTGTACGATGATATATGATGGGTAGATTCATGGTTAGAATGAAATCCCTAAATTTTCATAGTTTTGAAATTGTTAGGTTTTGATAAGAAATCCTTTAATATGATGAGTAATGGTGTTGTGATATTTCTATTTAAAATACATGTTCGATATAGATTATAATGCCTTAAATCATAGTAATTTGGATGTTAAAATGAGTTTTGGAGTGAAATTTTCGTAAGAAAATCACAGAAAAATGCAGTATTTTTATAGAATTACAAAAATTCATAACTTTTGAATCGTAACTTTGTTTGAGTCCCTGTTCAAAGCGTTAAAAATCTAGCACGATATTTTTTTCAATAAAAATGGTCTTACTGGCAGTAGGTGATTTAATTACTGCGCGGTTGTGTAAAATAATATGTATTTGTGTATTGTGTTGTTGTAATATGGTGATGTTGCGTTATTGTTATTGATTATAACATGATGAGTTGATAACATATTTGGTGAATGGTGATACTATGATATTGTGTTGTGTGATATGGATAATATGTATGCATAATATGTTATTTGATAGAACGTTGTAAATGAATCTGAATTGTATGTGGATGATTCATAAACATGTGCATGTATGTGTAATTGTGGGGTAATTCAATTGTGGTGAATTATTAAAGAAATGCATGGATGTTAAGATTAGAGAATGATCTTAATTACATATGGTTGTTGTAATTGCACATACATCATTTATTGTCAAGAAGCATACTTGTTAGTTCCGAGGGAGTTAGTGACTTGTTCCAAACTTAGAGATAGGTTTGAAAGCTTAGATGACTGGCTTTTTGTGTGTTATTGGTCTAGAGGACGCACCCGGTTTAAAGTAAAAACTAAATAAAAATACCAGTGATTGGTACCAAATGCATGACTATTGCATTTGAGTCTCGCATTTAGGCACATGGTGTATAGTGTCATAATATGAGATTATGTGCATTATGTGAAATTGATAAAATTAATATAATTGTGCAATTGTGAATTGTTGGTGTATTTTATGAATGGTATAATGAACTGGGTGATGTTATGTTTTATAAAGCTTATGAAGTGTGAGAATATAATCTATATGCATGTATGCTAAATATTTTATATTATTATATGATTCTTGATAATTATGTGAATTCTCACCTTTCTGTTGAAATAATATTTTATACGACATCGCTCAGGTATTGAAGATTAGAGCTGCTTCTAGCGAGAGAGTAGCTGAAGGTATTAGTTTATTTTATTTCCGTATTTATTTTAGATTGAGTCATGCTCTGGTCATGTAACACTGGAGAAATATTTGGATTCATGTTTTTGGAGAAATACTTTATGTACTTTATTCTATTTTGTTAATTTTAATTGAATTATGTGGTGAAGTGACTTTTATGCCTAAGTTGATTAAATGAATGAAGTTTATTTGAGACTTGAATATTATGAGATTTTTAAAGTGATTCCGCTGCGACATGCTTGTGTGAAATGATATGAAAAACACGAATTTAATTTAGTGTTATTTGAGCATGACAGGTGTATGTGTGATTTTGAATATGTGCAACACCCTTTGTTGAGACGCATGATAATTTACTCTGATTATTCCTATAATATTCTGCGGGATTTTAGAAGGGTGTTACAATGAGACTACTTGTAACTGTCATACCGGTTTGACAATTCAACCATCCGATTACATGCATTCCCGAGAATGTCTCTTTAAGAACCCCAACGCCCGACCTCTTATACTGACTCGAATTTCCCTATATTTCACGAGTACCAACTCGGCTACCAACCCTTTCGGAGTATTTGACATATCCGATATATCTTTCTCAGCTATAATGATATGTACCTCTTCTTTGAAAATTTTGGGGTGTACAGGTGTGTATAACTTCCCTCGAGTGAAATAAAAAAAATATGAAAGTTTTTGAAAAACCTCTCTGTTGTTACCTCTGATATCTGGTTGCGTTGTCGAGACTTTGACAAATACCTTGATTACCCTGAAAAATAACAGAGGTAATCCCAGAAGTGTTGAACAAATGAAACTATGAAACTATGAACAATAAATCAGTTTAGGTCAACATTAGACACAAAACTTAAGCAACCCGCAATTTTATGGATAATGAGTCGGTTGTTTCAATCAAATGATTTAAATTTGTCCATCCCTATGTAGAACAATGTCAAAGTACTAATCAATTTGTTAAATTTAATATTTTTTTAAAGATTTTATAAATAAAAAAAGAGGAAAAAGAAAAAATATTTTTAACTTACAACTTTTATTTAAAAAACACACTAACTATAAATTTTACAAGTAGTTTTTTTTTTAAAATGAGTTATTAAAAAAATCAATATACCGTTAACACAAAACGCATACTCATCATTAAATAATTTTGATAAAATTATATATTATGTAATATCGTTAAAGTAAAAATGAAAACAAATATATAGTATTAACTTCAATTTTTTTACATTTTCAATTATTTCACGATATTTTTTATGAATGCATCACTAAATAAATTATTAAACATACCATTTATAAATAGGGACACATTTTTTTCATTAGCACATAAAAAAAACCTAAATAAATATTTAAATTAAGAAATTAAATACTCTCAAATTTTAAAATGTTATTAGTGGTAATTTAGTGTGCATATTCAAATTCAAATTATATTAATCATAAAATTAAATATAAAATGTTTGATTTTCTATACATAATAAATATTTTATTATTTATATATTTAATTTAAATGTTATCAATTGTATATCATATCATTTTTTGAGTTAGAATCAAATGTCATATTATTCAAGTCTATTACACTTACAATATTTCTTTATCTCATATTATTTTTTTTATTATAATCAATTATATATATATATATATATATATATATATATATATATATATATATATATATATATATATATATATATATATATATATATATTTTATATATATTTTATATTTTACTAAAATTTAACATAACATTTTTACTCATAGTAAACCCGTACGAAAGGACGGGTATTATGTAGCTTTTAAGATTTTTGAGTTTGTAAAGTAATGCAAAACTTGGACCGTGTTTCTCAAGTCATTATAGAACTTGTGGTTTTATTTGAAATAATTAATATTTGTTGGAGCTTTCAACATACATAGACTATATCCCATGCACCACATTTAAATGTTCAATATATGTAAAATGTCATTTGCTGGGTTGAGTTTCAAATGTTGAATCCTCTTGATACAAATATTTCAGGGCCATCTGACATGACAGAGGTTCATTGTAAAAACAATACACCGGGCGATTCCAACGAGAGCACGAGAGGAATCAATCTCGACTCCTCAATCTAACACTACATCGATGGGCAAGATGAGCTTACCTCACCTCAAACTTTTACCTGATACGCCCCCCTATATATACGTGTATATCTATATATAAAACCTCTTGTCATGAAAAAAAATCATAACCTATGGCAACCATGCTTTTGATGTCATGACAGTTGATATGAAGTCTGAATTCTTGACTTAAGAACCAGAGAGAAAAGGAACCTCCGCTAGAGTTGTTGGTAAGGAGATGTTGAGGTTATGAAGGGCTAGATATGTAGCGATCCCGGCAGCATAGCCTGCAAAAGCAAATCCACTAACCTGTACAAAGAGTATAAACGATGTCAGTTACAAAAATATAATCAAACATTTTATTCTAATCAAATCAATAATACCAAGTGAAAAGTAGGAAGTACCTTTTTAAAGTACCAAAAGAAATCCACTTTTTCCATCCCCATGAATGCGACTCCAGCAGCTGAGCCAATAACTAACATGGATCCACCGGTACCAGCACAAAATGCAACCAATTGCCAGAACTCAGAATCTTGAGGGAAAGAAGTGACGTCGTACATTCCCATTGTTGCAGCAACCAATGGAACATTGTCTATGATTGCAGATATGACTCCAATAGCACTTGCGATTAGTTCACTATTTTGGACATGAGCGTCAAGGTAATTTGCTATTTCCCGGAGAACTCCGGCTGCCTCCAGACTGCAAAATAACATCACCGTTTTGATTGCATCATTGCAACAATAACCGGTTAAAACGAGTAGCCAAGAAACTTATTTCCTTATTACCTACCTGCTAACAGATAATAGAATTCCAAGAAAGAATAGCGCTCCTTGAGTGTCGATCCTTGATAGAGCCTGTGGGACTTTAAGCTTCTGTCTCTTTTCAGATTCACCATAATGAATAGCATCGGTAAGGATCCAAAGCACGCCGAGTCCAAGCAGCATCCCCATGTACGGAGGCAAACCTGTGACGGCCTTGAACACGGGGACAAAAATCAAAGCACCTAAACCCACCGAGAAAACAAGCTTTCCTCGAGGAGCCATCTGTTCAGATGACAGGAGAGTGGGAGATTCCGGCCCCTTCTCATTAGCTTCACTGAACAGAAGAAAATCCAGCATGATCAAGTAAATTATAAACTTATAACATGTTAAGCTAAATTTGACTATTCAAATCAGCTTTTTTGGTTGACTTTTGAAGTACAATAGTACCTTGTCAATGACATTAGGGCCAGTGGCACGGCTAGAGAAATGGCTGAAGGCAAAAACAAACCCTGAAATTAAAGAAAACGCATTGATGAAATTTTAATTTAGGGCATTATATTATGTATTTTTCATCACTATATCAAAAGAATATTTCAGGGTGTAGCTAGAGTTGAATTCGTTATACATATATACGACTATAAATTAGAGTGTAGTTTCTGGCGAAAATATTTCAGTCCAAATAGACGAATCACATTGTAACAATTTTTCAAGAGATAACCTTCATTGTTTGCACTGTAGTTATCTGGCCATGTATCCATAGCATAGTAGTAGTAACATCACCAATAGGAGTCCATGCACCACCGGCGTTTGCGGCTATTACAACAACAGCTCCAAGAATCCTGTCAACAGAATCCAAAGCAATTTCTTGAGGATTTTTATAAGAAAATGTCACATTGGATACTTGAACGCGTGATAAAGAACGTTACATCAAACGTTAATAGCTTAACAACACACATACTTTCGATACTCTGATGGAGGTACTAATTTCCGCAACAGAGAAACCATGACTATGGTTGATGTAAGGTTGTCCAGAACTGAACTGAGAAAAAATGTAATAAATCCAACCTGCATATTCAACTTTAATTTGTCAAATTCCATTATTGCACAAGACATTGAAAAACTTGACATTTGGTCTTGATGACTCATTTTTTTATGATCTCTTTCCTTCTTTTATAAAACTTGAGAATACTTGTGTGATGACTTAATATAGTCAAGTATCCGAGAAATTTGAATTTGCAAAGAGTTCGCTAAGAAGCATTCTATGTATGATAAAAAAATGCATTGTCAAAGTGGTGAAAGCACTTACCACCCAAAGGAGAAGGCGCGGGTTTCGGGTTTTTATATTGTCAGTAACTATCTTAAATCCTTGATGAGCATCAACTATCTCAACAATGGTCATTGCACCAAGCAAGAAGAACACTATTTCACTGACTTCAGCAGATGCGTGTGATAGCTCCGAAACAGCTATTTCAGTTGATGGAGCCTACAGTACAGACAATCATAAAAAATAAAAGTAAATGGCAATGGAATATCCAATCAAACGACCTATCTAGATAGACATTGTCATCCATACTAGAATCCCACTTCCGCTCCCCCACCGAGCCTAACCATGACACTGATACCACTTGGTAGGGAGTCTGGGGAATGCCGAAAGTGTCAATGGGCTAAACGTTCAATATCAAAGAGACTTTGACACCACATATCCCCCAAAAACCTTAAGGCGATGGATGTATGTGTCTTTCTCTTATAAATCCAACATTTTCTCAAATTCTAGTCAATTTGGGACTTAACCACTATACATGAATATATAGTCCGATAGAGTTTAATTTGACAGTATGTGAGACGAGTAACCTTGTTGGTAGATTATAAGAAATGAATCCCAAATGATGCGGTATCTTTTACAATTGTAATATACAGGTTTGCATATGATAACAGATGAATAAATTCAAGTGTATGTCACAGCAATATCCTATGCATTTTCTGAAAAAAAAGTATTGTAGCCCAACTATATCACAAGCATGACAATGAGCACACTAGCAGTATGTTTTCTGTTCTCTTTGGTTCCACACTTTTCAGTGAAACCAAAATATACCCTTTTTCTAACTTTTATCCTGTTTTATTATACACCAACCATAGAGCTCGGTTCTTTATTGTTCTAAGTTCTAAGCCATTCGTGAAAAACTACCATAAAGTTCAAACCAATCATAATTACACTACCATAAAGTTCAAACAAATCAATAATTACGCAGCGATAAAGTTCTTAACCAATCAAGCATTAACTGACATTCTCAAAAGTAAGGACTAATATAAGATAGACATTTACCCCAATACTCCGTATCACCCATAAGCTTACAGCCATTATTAGCCCTACTCCGCTTTTGTTGAAAGCTAGAGACTCTTCAAATATGATGCCTGCATATCCTATTACAAATAGCAATGCCATAGCAAGATCCTGCAGCGAGAAATCACACAGAACTACCAATTTCAGAAAATATCATATTTATATAGTTTTTTTTTCTTTCCGCAAATGCATGTACTACATTGTGAAATTTAGCAGAAGTGAAACCAGGTAAAATAACAATAATGAACCTGATTAGCAGCCACCCAAGAATGGTTAATTGCTACTGTCCCAGTTGCAGCCGCCGCAAATATCGCAACTGCTTTGAGCAAATCAGTCTTGGGCTGGTAGTTGTCTTCGAAATCTTGCGAGCTTGTTTCATCAACTGAACATAAGGGATCACAAGTTCCAGATTCTGATGTCAAATCCTATTACCAAAATTAACCCCTTAGTATATGAGAACCATATTCCATAGCTTTGTAATAACAGTACTAATAATCCACACAATTATTATCTGAATTACCAAAATTAACCCTTTGATCTTGTACTCCCACTACTAGCCTTATTAAATATTGAATCTTTACTGAATTAGTGAGATACCCTTACCCTTAACATTAACATATAATTATGCAAAAAGCATGAAACATGAAAACTAGTAAAAACAACCAGGCAAAAGGGTAATCATAAAAGAACCTGGTACTGCTGTTGTGAACTTTGTGGAGGCTGAAATGAAGAGTTAGAATCTCTGGCTTTATCTTCAGCGCGTGCCAATACATTATTACGGAGTAACTTGGGATTGGGAACTCCGAATCTGGTTCTACAAGAAGAAGAAGAAGTGGTGAAGAAGGGTTTGGATTGTGTGGGCGAAGATTGAATTGATGAAAGCCTTGAATTCCCCAAATGTTGGAACATGGACAAGTGTGTTCCGATTGAAAACGTAGACATTTGTTCTAGCAACTGTAACCAACAACAACAGCGAAAGTGAAAGATCTTCGCTAAACTGTGATGAATAATGGAAGAGAGTTATTAATTGGTTAATTAACTAGTTTCATTCATAGCAAGAAATATAGCTTTTTTATTTGCTTTTTTTGAATAACTGTTTTTATTTGTGACCCGAGCAACAGGTATGGTAAGTGGGAGTATGTGATAGATTCGATATTGGAACCTTAATCTTATCGAAATTACTTTTTTACAATATAACCAAATAGTATAATATATTAACTATTAACCAAATTAATGATATAATATAAATGTTTAATTTTCACAAATAAAAATAGTCTTGAACTACGCACAATCGTGTTTTCTCACAATTTGTCTATCTTATCATACTTTTTTTAATCAAAAGTGGACAAGGTGTTTGTACATCTCAAGTAAAACTAATGAGTCACATTAATTACTAAGCTGAAAAAGTAATAAGATCAAGTTAGATCAAGATTTTTCTCCTTTAACATTTCCTCTCTCTACGAGTCTAGTATTCGAGAAATTGAATATATGTTTGGAAAAATATAAGAAGAAGTTAAATTATGTTTTTTTTCTTTTTCAAACTCTTTTATTAGATTATGACCATAAGATTTAGAATTTGATTTATGGTAAGTTATTTGTAAGGGATTAAACAATTTTAGAGTAGAGAGTAAGAAAAAGAGAGACACAAGTAGATATCATGATTTTTCCTATAAATTAGAAGTAGTCCAGTCCTCTTGTATTTTTAAGGGATTTTCACTATAATTACTTCTAATTACAATTTACTCAAGCACACATACAAGAGACTTACAATGCTCAAACTCTCAAGTAAGAGACTTTCAATGTTCAAACACACATGCAAGAGACTTTCTTATATGGTTAATGTCGTTGAAAGATCATTTGGATTTCCATTGCTTCAAGAGGAATTAGTTGTTGCATTCCTTCTGTCTTCTGCTGAATCTTCATGTAATCAAAATAAGACAAATTGTTTTGAGTCTGATAGTGACCTATCAAAGTTTCTTGAACTTGACGCTTTGACGGACTTCAGAGTCTGAGTCTTCAGAGTCTGAGTCTTCAGAGTCTGGTCTTCACAAGTTGACCTCTTTAGAGTATAAGTCTCTAGAGTCTGGATCTTCAAAGGTTAACTTTCGAATTTTTTTATTAATAACCATGTATTAAAAAAATATTTCGTAAATAACCGGGTTTCGGAAAAAATTACGCAAATAACCATGTTTGAGATGGCTCCACAAAGGAGGAGCCATCTCAATTGGCGCATGCACCTCCTTTTTTAAGGGAGGCGCCATCTCACTTGGCGCCTAAGTGCTTAGGGCAGGCCCTAAGCCAAGTGAGATGGCGCCTATGTACAAATTTAGGGCAAAAAAATTTTTTTTTTTATTTTCTTTCCTGTGCGTTGCCTATTGGACAGAGATCAACAAAATGGACTTTTTATTAAAAAAAAAAATTACATTCAACTGTATTACATTAAAAGAACAGTAAAAAAATGAATACAAAAAAACTGGGAAAAAAAAAGATACATCAGTGATCCCCCGGAACCCGGTAATGACCCCCGGTTCCGCATCCCCGTCCTCTCCTTTCTCTTGCTGGGTGTCGTCGCGTTTCCTGCTGCGGCAAGGTCGATGGCCCAGCGAAGTCAATGCGATTCGAATCCATAAAATCAGTAAGATCTCCATATCTCGAAGATCCGCTCTGGTACAGTCGGTTACCCATACCCTCAAAGTTTGGTCGTGTTGGCGGTGGGTGGGGTTCCATGGTTGGTCGGTAGCATTGGTCGTCTGAGTATGGGGGGTAGAAAGGAAATGGATCTTGGGGTGTTTGGTATTGTGGATGTTGGGTTGTTTGGTGATATGGTGGTTGATGGTAGGTTTGGTCGGCTTGGTCATAATCTTCTGACATTCCCATATCAGGGCTAAGGCTGGATGTTGAGGGCGCCATATTGGGATATGTGGAAGACTGAAATTGTGTCTGGGGTATGTGGGTGTGCTGGTATTGGGGTTGGTATTGTGGTTGGGTTTGAGGCATATCCGGGTATTAGTAGTTTGGTGGTGATTGTGGTTGGTAGTACGGCATTTGATTGTAGTTGTGTTGTGGTGGGGAATGTGGTTGTGTGTTTGTTGGTCTGTTTCTTCTTGGGGGTTGGTTTGAGGTTGATGGATTTTGGGTTTGTTGATGGGGAATTGAGGGTTGTGCCCATTGTGTGCGTGGGTCAACCAAGTACCTCGGATGAGACACGTGCATTTCTGGGTTACTAACCGACCTGTACCACGACATATATTGATCAGTGTGTCGCATGTTACCTTGAGTAAGGAAAATCGGGGATTGCAAGATGTAGCGGTGACGCCTTTGCCACATTTTACACCATTCCGGAGCAAATTCTTTCCAGTTGGTAAGACCCCACTGGGCGTCGACCCTTTTAAGATGCCAGGGGGACAAATCTGTTGGATCACTTGGTATCTCTTGATGCATTCCGAACTGCATCTTCACACGGTCGCTGTGGTGCATCTCCATAATGTTGAACCGAATGAGTGCAGTCTTTGCAGTCCAAGTTGCTGCATCCTCTGGGTTTGGAGCATGGCCCAAACCCAAATATGGTCTCCAGACGAACTGCGATAAAATTTAAATCAGGTTAGCGCAAAAGTAATGTATAAATAATTAAAATGAACAAAAGTTAAAAGCTACGACGTACGTCATCTGGGCCTAAGTGATCCAACAGATTCCGGTAGAGTGCGACATTGAATCTTGGATTCTTGCCGTAATCCATACCCCTCACGCAGTACCTAAAGGAAATGAGAAACATGTTATTTTTAGCATATATTTTGGAAAGAGCAGAATAGTTATAAATGCTATAACTTAATGACTTACTTTGTTGCGTACGGGAAACCAAAAGTGTTGTTGTTGATGGGGTTTAAGGACTCCATCCTCCACCAACCCCAGACTTGTAGTAAAAATGCGCACCCATAAAATGTACATTTTTCCTTGACTGCGTTTTTGCACAAGGAACTGTACAGGTGGGCTAATACTGCAGAAACCCAACTATATTTTCTAGTTTTTTCAAAATTTGTTAGTAAATGTAAGTACATGAAATTTACACTATTTCCCGTACTTTCGGGAAATAAAAATGTACCAAAAAGTATCATAAGATACGTTCTGGCTTTTACTACTCGGTCATTCTCTGAAGAATTTTCATTTAATTCCATACTTGCATAATGACGTTTCAGGTCAGTGAGTAGTATTCCCTGCCCTCTTGCTCCACCACCTTCTACCATATCCCTACCCAACAGTTCTTCACACTGTGAGTTGGGTTGTTGAACCGACCCGTTCACCGCCTTACCGTCGATAGGGAGGCCCAGTAGCATGTACACATCCTCGAGCGTGATGGTACATTCACCTATTGGTAGGTGAAATGTATGGGTCTCTGGTCTCCACCTTTCCAACATTGCCAGAATGAATTTTGAGTCAATGGTGCAGTTGGAGATCTTTATCACATGTCCAAAACCTGCATATTCCAGATAAGGGACGATAAATGGATCGGGAGCCAGGTAATTGTGCGAACGGATTCTGAATCTTTTTGTGTCCTGAGATCATAATTAAACAAGTGTAAGATTAATTAAGATGAACAACACGTTATTTGAAGAATGAAAAATGTATAACCAAAGAAGAGACTTACAAATGCAGCAATGTTTTCCCTTGTGCCTCTGTGAGTATCACTCATTGTTAGAAGAGCCATTGTTTAGAATGCTTGAGAGTATGAAAGACTTAGGAAGAAATAGAGAGTATGATAGACTTAAGAAATATTTCGTAGCAGAGAGTGAGAGTTGTGTGGGTGTGAGAGATGTTTCATAAGGTATGTATTTATAGGCAAATAAGTTTGATGTAGTGGTTGCTTGTGCTTGCATGCCTGCGAAGTGTCACATTTGCATGCTTTGGGTGTTACACATATGCATGTATGCATTTACAAAAAATGTAAGGTGTCACTCTTGCAGGCTAGGTGGCAGCCCATGCATGTATCACGATTGGACAATAAGGGAGGCGCCATTGGACTTGGCGAAAGAGTACAAAAATGAATGGTGTCGCCACCCCATTTGGCGAATAAGAGGTGTCATTTCTTACAACATAGGCTCAGGCTACGTGACAGCCTTTGGGATTCCTTTCTTTGTTGCATGCAAGGCCATTGGAGTTGATGGGTGGAGTCTTACACAAAACATTTATGTGTGCAGAATAGGGCCAGGATAGGTGGCAGGCTATGGGGTTTCATAAGCCCATGCATGTATCACGATTGGACAGTAAGGGAGGCGCCATTGGACTTGGCGAAAGAGTACAAAAATGAATGGTGTCGCCACCCCATTTGGCGAATAAGAGGTGTCATTTCTTACAGCATAGGCTCAGGCTACGTGACAGCCTTTGGGATTCCTTTCTTTGTTGCATGCAAGGCCATTGGAGTTGATGGGTGGAGTCTTACACAAAACATTTATGTGTGCAGAATAGGGCCAGGATACGTGGCAGGCTATGGGGTTTCATTATTGCATGTAATATTATTGGCAGCCTTGGGGGGTTGCATCCCTTACTTAATTGAAATTTTTTGCCTTACGTTGAACATAACATTGATTCACATAATCTGTAAAATCTTCCAACCTTCGAATCAGTCATCAAACCTTCAAACATTCCAGCATTCATACCTTCATACAATCAATAAACCTCAAACATTCCAACCTTCAAACCTTAAAACAATTCTACGCAATGGCCTCTTCACCACAATTTGTTGTCAAAGCACATTTCAATGGTAAGACATACATTTGTCCCACAGTTGGGTTTTTGTTTAGAAACACCGACAACGTACGATTTCTCTTAAACGGGAAAGCCAATTTCTCGTACTTCAAGAAAAGATTGGAGGCCAAACTTGAACGAGGCCCGGTATCCCAGATATTTTATCAGAGTACAGTTTTTTTTGGAAACAACCAAGTAATTTT